AACATTTTTTATTTTTTTTGTAAAAATACTTAAAATAAGTGTATATCCTTTAAAATTCTTGATCATTTATGACTACATTATTCATTTTTACTATTATTATGACTATGTTTTTGATTTATTAAATAACTTTTTTTGGTTCAATAATTATTTTAAAAAGTATTCTCAAAATAGCCAGGAAACAATACTATGCAAGTTTAATAGATTTTTTAAAAATTAAAGAAAATAGATTTGTGAAAAATACAAAAAGTCATTAAATAAATGAAGTTTATTATATTTGTTTGAAACTAAAATAGATAAAAACTATATATACTAAGAAAAAAATACAAAATGAAAATTTCTATTTAAACAATTATCATAATATTATTTGCGAAACATCTTGTATGTTATCTTCATCAAAAGTAAGAACAATGTAACTATCACCGCTTGATATAAACAAGTAAGGACTATACTATAGTATAGTGATTATTACTATAGTAATATACCATTTGTTTGCCTCGGGTCATATCAATAAAGAATCCCATGACCGATGCTTTGTTTTGTATACAGTTTGAACTTGTAACAAAACTGTTAGAATCATTTCTATTTGTACCATTTAGTGTACTAAAGATAGTATTCTCCTCATTATCAACTGCCATTTGATTATTTTCATATATATTAGGAGTAGCGTTATGATTTTCTCTCATGAAAATTGTATTCGTGTTATAACAGTTCAACTATCCATAAATATCTTTATATATAAATATATATGTAATAAATCTGTTATTAAACTAATTTTTTTGCAGATATTAAACATTGTAGATAGTAAGGAGCAGTGGTGTAGTCCTAAAAATGTTTATGGGTATACGCCTATATTATGAATAGATAATAACGTGGGGGGCTTCGTCCCCCCCCATTGCAGTTTATATTTTCTACATACAATATTTCACAATTATTTTGTTGAACTTTTAATTTTATACATTATCAACAGTGATATAGTCGTAATTTGATCAATAGATAAGTTAAAAACCTAAATGAGGAAACGTGGGGAATTTCACCCCCACACTACTTTTCAAAGGCCTTAACTATAACATAGTTTTGGGGGACGGAATACAAATATTGTGATGTTTTAACTGTGTTAAAAATATGTATTTTCTAATTATTACATAATGCAACTAAAACTCCTAACCCTCTCAGATACAGCCTTGCACCTTCCAACTTTCAACTATTACTCGAATATTTTTACTGACACTTCTAAGTTCTTATATAAACTAAATTTCATAGTCATATAATCGATAAGTGTATTATTAGATACTGTTATATTTTTTGTAAATAAACAATAAACTTTATGCAGTAATAAAATAATCTTACAATCATTGTTTTCAAATCGTTAAAACATAAATGAAATAAACGTGAATGGGTACATGTTAGCACTATCTTAATTCATTATAGGTAATATATTAAATACTAGATTGGTTGGTAGACGGTTTATTACGGAAAAATACAAATTACCAATTTCAGCTATAGGTTAACCCAATAACTTTCAGTTTCAACTTAGTATGTGCTATATCGTTAATTTCTGGTCGATGCTTTAAATTTTGTCAAATGTCAATAAAATTGTCGTGAAGTTATAAACATTATCCTATTTATTTTATTGATATTTATTAATACACTTTGACAGTGTTTTGTTTTACATTTATATTCTATTTTTAAAATGATAATAGTCTCGAGCCATATTTGTGTGTTTATAACTTCAGATATATGTTTATATGTGGTATGACTGTAGAGATTAAACAAACTGATAATAGTTATTCAAAATTTGTGTTTTATGACAAACATACCTATATTCGATACCCACGTATTACTTTTTATTTTATTCTTTAGTCTATACTCTAACTATTTTATAAATACGTATATGCACTAATAAGAAAACAGTGTGTATACGCCGTATACCCGCGTATAACTCATGATTTTATAAGTATACGCATTAACAGAAAAACAAAGAAGTGGGTATACGCCGTATACCCGCGTATACGCTCCACGACACCTCTGGTAAGGAGTTTTAATCAAATTTAATTCAAAAGTTTGATGTTAATTTTATTAGGTATTAAGTGATACATAATAAAACATACGATTTGAACATTATCTAATGTCACAATAGTTATTAAAAAAAATTGTTTCTTCGAAATGATAATTGGATCAAATTTTATGATTGTTGTCGGTTAGATGTAAGAAATCCTTTAAATAAATACATTCCAATAATAATTTAATCATCTTAAATAATTTTTATTAGACTTGACTCTTGTTATCCCGTAACCGATTTAAAATATATCTATTTCTTTACTCATTAATAATTATTAATGAGTAAAGAATACTAAATATTTCAATTATAATTGAAGTATTTAGTATTTCACAAATTATACTCACAAGGGCTGTAGACCATTTTTCTTTCCTTAAATTTTTGGACCTTTGACGTCTTACTCTTTTTTTCTTTTCAAGTCAGAAAGTTTATTTGGACGTGGTAGATTTTTTAATGCGGCGCCACTTTACGATTGCTCTAACGTAAATACAGTCTGTATTATTTTTTTAATCAGGTTGTAGATTAATTTTTAATTGCTATAAAAATATTTTAAGATTCTTGCCCTTAGACTTAATTAAGTATTTATTGTTACAGTAATATATTGTCGTTTAATATGGTTATTAAACATTATCTCTAAAAACTATATTTTGACCATAACAATTGTATTTGTCTATAGAGAATTATCAATAAATCTCAATTGACACTTTAAATTTATATTATTTGTGAAGAAATTTTTCTGTTCTTTTTTATTTTGTAAGTATTATTTTTTACTTATTTTAAGAAACATAATAATAAGATTACTTAAGAAGTCTTGATTCCTCGGTCATTTATTTTCTTTTAGTCTTAGGAAAGCTTTTCTCGAATTAAAAATATCTTCCCGATATTTTTGTGCCACTTACTAATGGTATGCTTTGATTCGCTTTGTGATAGTAGTGTACTGTATGGATTAATTTTAAATTAAAAATAATTTCTAAATCAAAAAGAAATTTTGTAAGTAAATTTTCAAAAAATTGGAAATTATGGAGATAATATTAGAGCCATCGAATGCAAAACGCTAACTGAAAGAATTAAAAACAGTTTATTATAAACAAACTGGTATCTAACAAAAAATGTAATAGTTATCACTATTTCAATGGATACAATTAGTATTTATTACACAATAATTTCGATTTTATTTGTAAACTTAATGATCTCTTAGTAGTGATCGAAAAGACTATCAAAACACGCTTCGATGTTAGTCCATACAGAAAGATAGTTATGAAAATTTTTTGTTTGTAGGATTAAATGTAACTAGAAAATTCCCAAATTCTCAGAACTAAACTACAACTTAGTAATAAAAATTTTTTAAAAAAATGTCATTTTTAAGTTTTAGGTTTTTTAATTTTCACACTCTACTATTACACTTAGAAAATAGATCGTCAGGCAATTATTATAAAATACTTAAACTTAAATTTTATACATAATGAAGAATTATAGATTAATGGGAAAATAAGTTTTTATGATGATATTTTTTAAAATTCTATTATACAAAGAATAGTTGTATTCTCAACACAAAGCAAATCATCAATGAATTTTTTACACTTTTTACAAATTATTTTTTATGATATTCATGGTATGAAGCGTTAGTCCATATAATGTAAAGGACGAAAGTAAACATTATTTTATTACGTTATTTAGTGGCAACAGTAGATGATTTATTCTCCATGAAAATAGAATGAGCATCTGTAATGACGTGAAAAACTAGTAGTAAACTTAATTTTATCTATAAAATTTTAAAAACGTTATTCATAGCATGTTAAGTTTTTAATTAAATAGGTTCATGTTTCATAAATCTAAACGTGAATAATAATGAATAGGCGCATTTATTATCAAATCTCCTAACAATATGAATAGGAATATTGTATAATAATATGATATCAATAATAGAATTATGCAAAATTAATAATTTTTATCAATTTTAACTTGGTCAACCCTTGAATACTTATAATTAATATCAGAATATGTTTTTAATATTTTGTAAGAAATATTTGAAATAATAATTTCTATAAAAAACTCGTTCAAACGATAACAATTTTCATACAAAAGAAATCGTTGTGTAACTAAAACATAATTTGTTTAATATAATTATCATTTTATGAAAAATTGAGTGGACATACGACAATTGAGTGAAATTCCATTCATTAAAGAATCACCTGTATACAAAAACATTATAACTTTTCATAATTTTTTCGTAAAAATTAAAACAATAATTTTATTTACTATAATAAGTATTATACTTATAAATGATACAAATTGCTTTTAGTTATCTTTACTCTGCCGTGGTATTATTTTTCACTCTGTATAAAAAAGTATTAATAGCTTTTCAAATACGAAAAAAAATGTTTAATTTCAAATATTATTTTGGACCAGTTATTTTCTTAATTATGTAATATTCTATTCTATTAGCCAATTTAATATGTATATGATCATATAAAAAATAGATTTGACACCCTTATAAGAATATAAGGGATGAATTAAAAAAAAACTCAATTATTATTTAATGGAGAAATCTATAAATTTAAAAAATATAAAAAATAATTTTCTTTATATAATTGTTATTTTAAAAGTAACCAGGGGGCTAATATTAAAAAGATCACTTATATACAACAGTTTTATAATTTTTTATAATTTCTCCGTAAATATTACAATATTAAACATCAATTTCATAGCAAATTTAATTACTACAATAAGTATGTACCATATATTATACTTGGAAATTATAAAACTACTAATTAGGAATAATAAAGTAAATAAGAGTTTGTTGCAGTGGTAACACTGCTATTATAATGTTCGTATTGTGATAATAATATAAGCTGTGTATTTTTAAAAAATGATTACAAAGTGTTCTCTTGTATTTAAAATAAATGTAATTTCTATTTAATTTAAATTAGTTTTTTAATTACACATTGATATTAAAGACTAAAATAAAACAGAGTTAATGTTGCTAATGAAATAATCTACCAATTTCTTAAAATTAAACACTACCAACAGATTTGTAACTAATGATAGTGGTTTTAATCACTGTCAGATATCATCTACACATGTCCCAACTATGGCGTGTCCCCAATGTGCCGCTACCCCAATGTTTTAACTTTTTATCTTATTATTGGAGTCCAATCTAATATTTTCTGGTAGGAAAAAAACCATCTATCATCACCTGTTATTATGTTTATATCAGGGTTGTTACGTTTTTAACAAGTGATGTTTAAATTACTATTTTAAAAGTGTTTGAAACACCAAATATTTCAAAATTTACACTTGTCTTGTAGATCATATTAAATGTTTAAAAAATTTAATTAAATTTTTTAATTCTGCTCTGCATAAGTCTTATTAGATAGAACAAATGTAATTGTGATAATAATTATAATGCTGAAAATAACAATACTCTTTTTTTTAATTTTTAAATAAATTATAATAGTTTAAAACTTTTTATCTACGGACATAAGAATTCACAGTCGATGAATATGTGTTTTTTTTTTTTTTTGCTATCAGTGTCCCAAGTTATTTGCTGATTTCGTTTCCATTCGTTTTTTTCGTATTGTTTGTACAACACGATGATGACAATTTGCTGCTCAAATCTCGAGCTTTCATTCTTTCCACATATCTGTAGTGAATTCGTTTCATTTCTAACATTTCTTTCATTTCTTCTTTGTCTTCATCCTTTTATAAAACAAATGAGTATAAAAAAAAATGCATTACTATATACCTATTATCGTGTTTATATTTAAGAATATTATTATATTAACTACCTTTTGAAAGTGGCATATTTTGTTTTTTTATAAAAATTTGGTACCATGAACTTAAAATTATAAGTTTGTACAAAAATATTATATTGTTATTTATTGTTTATCATCATAAGGAAAAATGTTTATTTATTAATTTAATATTAAATTAAATAACATTTCTTAGAAAATACTATAAAAAGAAACTATTATAACAATTATCACGAATTAAATAATTATATTTTCTCATATTTTGAAAATAATTACATTAAAGTCGGGCTTATAAATTACAAAAAATGTATACTATTTTTCATAACTTTTATAATGCATTGATTTGATAATAGTAAAGATTGAAGGCTCAATACTAACTGATTGATTTAAACGTAAAACCAAAGCTCGACGACCGTCAGACATAGGTTGGGAGTATTGCATGAGATTTTTATGCCGTTGAGATGGACTTACGCCTCTTTCAACTACTAAAACAATTCTTGCCCACTGAAAAAAAATTATACATTATCATTAACCAAAATAATTAACCCTTATGTATAAGGAAATTGTAAACCATCATATTTTTTTTATCTAAAAGTAACTTCTGAATGTATCAATTCTTAAATAACTCTCGGTTTTGTATAGTATTCGGAGCCGACCTATTGTTGAAGGTAAAAAAATTATATTATATGTACCCATGAGGCAGAAGATCATGACGGTATTAGATCTTCAATTTGACTCTTATTTTTAATTATTAAAAAATTTTAATTTGTTAATCAAAAGTTTAAATGTTTTTATTTTAAGTATTGATTATGATTAAAATAATATATAATTAAATAATATTGGGTTATGGTATTCATGGATACCCATCCCTTTAGAATACTGATATATATATATATTATATAAATAAATGGAAGAAGAGAAAATGAACGCATTCACATTCCCTTGAACATCATCTCCATGATGTTTATGTTGTAGTGTAAAGTGAGGTAAATTCGTGATAATTTAAAAAAATACATTTAATTTTTTGAAATAATTTAATTAATATAATTATTTAATGAAAATAGTATAAAGATACATACAAATTTTACATTGTATGTTTTTTTTTTGTTTTTATTGCATTAAAATAAAAATGTTAGGTAATTTTATGATAAGGGATTTAATTTTCTACAATTTTCTTTAGTCGATTTTGCTTCTTTATAAATTAATAATTTTTGTTTATTTACCATTTTTGCTGTTACTATCATTTCAGGGTCGTTGTTCTGACGATACTTTATTGATATCGTATTTAATTGTAATACATATAGATTTGTGATACGTCAAACCGTAAAAATATCTGCAGATTTACATAGGAAAATATATAATCTTTATTTTATTTATAATCATTTGGTGTTTAAAATAATTTTTGATATAATTTTATTTAATAAAAAAATCTAGCTTAAAAAGAATTAATTCAAATTAACTTTAGCTCTGATCCCGATGGCATTGATTTTATTATGACATCTGTTCATCAAAATTCTCAGCTCTCGCTATACCTTTTTAATATGTCAAAAGAACTCAATTTTTATCTAGTTGAACTAAACGTTACCGAAAACTGGAAAAAATCCTTTACAATTTTAAATATTTAAAATACCTCCAAAAAATGGCATCTTCCAAATTTTTTTTCTATATTTAAAAATTGCTATAATATTTTTTTTTTAAATATTGATCGTAATAAAACTGTAATTCAATATAAAATAGACAATAAGCATTCTGCTGGTATGCTTTTTGTGAAAATTCAATCAAAAACCTGTGTACGAAAACGGTTTGAAAAAGATCCAAGCACGTATTTTTTTTTGTTTTAACTCGAATTGTTGAAAATGTTTAGGGATGTCTGCATTGTTCAATCTATATCAAATTAGAGTTCTTTAAGAGTAATTATCGATAAAAAACAAACGCTTCCTAACTATATTATTTCAAAGTTACTTTATTTTAAAGTCAAAAATCGTAAAACTTCTGTAAAAATTCACCACAGTTTTTAAATTTTTCTGTTACTCTCTAAGCATAATGATCGTAATGAAATTTTGATACTATATAAATAAGACAACGAGCTTTCTTTTAGTATGATTTTTGTGAATTTTCCATAAAAAACATTAGTACAAAATGTTCGAAAGTGACCTCTCAATTTTTTAATTTGTTCCGACGATTGTTCTATTACGAGAAATCGTCGGCCAAAGTAAAAAAAAAAAACTTTCTTATCAATTAAATAAATAATTTAATAAAATTTAATATTTAATTGAAATATTAAAAAGTAGAAATTGTGAAATTTAACAGACTTGCATCGAAGCTTTTTTAATGATAGTGATGTTAATCACTGTCGGATATAAACTTGTCCCAATTAAGCCACGATACCACTGTACTGGGTTTTTGTATCAGGTGAAAACACTAAAAAAATGTATATTGTCAGTAAGGAATAGCTAATTATAGTTTATAATTTTTAAAATTATAACTGTACCAATAAATTAAGTATATTGTCAAGCTTAACATTAGTTAGTTATAATACACTGATGTTATGTATAAGTTGAAAAATATGATAGTTAAAAGATGGAAACTATAATATTTTAGGCTATTATTTATTAGACTTGTGATCTACAATGATAAGAGATGTATAAACTGATAGAAAACAATTAATGTATCTATGCACTCAACAACTGCGTCAACAGTATTACTAGCAAAATTGGTCGATGTTTCGCAGTTTATGGACTAATAGGTAAAAACTAATTGATAAAGATATTTAAAAACTAGCACGAATTTACTTATACCACGAACATATCTACCTTTACACTATTTTATTAATAATGTAATCAACATGTTGATTAGGTATTTTTTCACTTTAATAATTTTAGGTTTACTTTTTCAATTGTATGTTTGGAATATCCTTCTTAAACTTGTATTAGACTCCTTAAGATTTTTTCCTATCTATATCTACCCTAAGCAATGTACCTTATTCCCTTTATGTTCAACATTACTTTATTAATTAAAAAAATGAATGAATACATAATTATATATACATTTAATTTTTTCTACAGAAGTAATTACTTGTCTTTGCCATTCATTTCTTGTTTCGGCAATTTTTTGATAAGTATTTCCCATCATAGCGATTAACATGTTAACTAATAAAATTGCTACAATCACCATGAATACAATGAAACAAAACTAAAAGAAAATCATCATAATAATATTAAAAAGTTTCATAAAGCTATACTATCTCATACCTTAGCAACCAAAGTGTGACTCGTCTTGTCAAAGGCTTCATAGTATTCAGCAAAAGCATTTACTGACATGAGAAACATGGCCATAATTGATTCAATCGGTGATGGCATAGGATTTTCAACAATGTCGTCAACATTACCAGGAGTCAAAGGATTATCAAAGGATAAAAAAATTACATAATAAGCTGTGGAAGATTAATAGAATATATAAATATAATAAGTTATTTTTATAAAATCAGATAGTGGTGAGGTGTATTTCCTTAATATATATTCAAGTTTTGTACAATATTGTGGTGACAATTTTTTATTTTATACAACACCAATAATAATTTCAATTAGTTATAACTTTTTATAATTTTGAGGAGTATTAGGTAGAGCCAAAATTTTATATTTAAAACAAGATTTTAGACTCAATTTAAACCGTATAATTTATATTGAGTAAGTAAAAGAAAAATGTCAAGCAGTTTTTTTAGTATTTCTAACAAATTATTTTTATAAAATGCATGAATTATACAGCTAAGAATATATTTACCTTGAGAGAAGCCCATTACAAACACCATGTATATGGAAACGAATCTCAATAGATCTCCCATAATCATTCTATAAATCATGACCACAAAAGGACCAACTGTCTTGAAACCTCTTCAAATTGTTTAAATATAATTTAAAAAAGTAAATATAACATAAGTATATGATATAACATAGTATGGTGGATAACAGGAGCACAATTTGAATATTTTTGTGAGGTGTAATTTAATTTCCTGCCTTTAACATTTTTTCGTAACATGAAAAAATTATACTATTTCATTTCTTTTTTTAGGTTACTATGGCGGAAGTTTAGTGAGTTAAGCTACCTTAAGTCCATACCAAATCACACTTAGGATGATCAATTGTAGTTTACCTGCAGAAAAATAAGAAATATGGACATGTGGTTAGCATGATAATTACAGCTGTAATGTCTTCTGCTTTATCATAACAATAATATCTAAGTGGTGGCACAGTCATCATAAGAGTACAAGAGAATAAGAACATTACTCTTGCCGGCGCTATTGCCTATAAAAATGATAATATTTGATTAAAAATTGTATAATCCAAATTAAAATGTTGATTAATCAATTAGTCTTTTAATGCTTATGTTTTTAAATTAACTTTTTCAATCAAAAAAATATTTTTAATCAATTATTTTATGTGAGTATTATGTTTTTAAGATTGGTAGAAACTAACCAGATTTTCAAAAAACATTTGAAGTCCCAAAAATCTTGCTTCTCTTATAGCTGCCAACAAGTAAAGAAAAGCTCCGATCAACATTGTTACTTCTGAACCTATTCTTATTAAATCTTCGGTAGTGTTAACTATTAATAATCGACAAAATTTTCGTTTTTTACTCCACCAAAACTTTCTGACCTTTTAAAACGGGGAAATATTAATCATAGGGAAAGGGTAAAAGTTAATTATGCTATTTTTCTTATAATATGTTTATTTAATGAGTTTTCGATAATAAATGTTTTATTATGAGGAAAATTGGACAAATAAGTCAATTTCATCAACCTTTCAGAAGAAAGGTTATAACAGAGGTTGAGAAGATATTGATTTTTAAAATGCCTGCTCATAAAAATATTTAGTTTTTACTCAGAGTTGACTGTCAATACATACGTCAAAAAACTCAAATTTAATTTAGTTAAACATATCAGCTTTAAAAATTACACAACTATAGAAAAAGGCATTTTCAGGATTTATTTTTGTATTTTAAAACTGCTTTAAATTACACGGATCATAATTAAACTCATATCGGCAATATAGAAATAATTTTTTTTCGGTATATTTTTTATGTAAATCTAGTTTATAACTTAAGGATAGATAGAGTGTTTGAACTATACTATTAAAATTGTTTTCTTTTCAGTTATTAAAAATGTTTGGAATCGTCTGATATATTTTAACCTGTATTAAATTAAAAGTTTTTTTAAATTACTTTTTGATAAAATAGGAAAACGTCTCGACGATTTATCTCTTATAAGTCATTAGATTAAAGAAAAAAATCTTAAAATTTTTGTAAAACTGTGTCATTGATTTTATTTTGCTATAACTGTTCCAAAAATACACCAATTTTAATGAAATTTATATTGTACAAAAGTTCTGATGATTTTTTATCTACTTGGTTACTAAAATATTTTTTTTCTTGTTTTTTTTTTATATATAATAACTGTATTAAAGGATTTTATGGCAGTGATATTAACCATTTTCAGATATCAATATTATATTGGGATCTACTATGTTAAGCTATTAAGCTATGTTTAGTGGACTAACTAGTAGACCCACTATACTGCACTGAATTTTTTTTATTGATCTCATAGTAAGATTAACTTTAGGTATAAGAGTAATCAGTCACACAAGTGATCTACTTAATCTCTCATAATACATACTCAATTAATTATATTTGTTAAAAGGATTTTAATTTTCGAAAATTGAATAATTTGAGTATTTTAAAATCTTTTTTTTGTTAGTAATTTGAAGAATATACATCTCAAAATTACACTACCTTTTCCAGGCAAAATTATTTTTGTATAGTTTCAGATGTAATTAAATGTTAATTATAATTTTCCGTAAAAAAATAGAAATTAACTAAAGTTCTTTTTTCTTAGGATCAAAAATAATTAGTAGTAATATAAAAAAAGTATTATGAATTATTATGTAAAATTTTAATTTGCACAAAATTATAAAAACATTTTTTGTTTATTTCTAACTTACTTTTTTGTTATTATTCATTGATGAATTTTTATCATTTGTATCCCAATTTTTATGCTTACTTTTATCCGAATTTGAACTCTTTCCGTGCAAATTTTTCATATTACTTTGTTTGTCGGATATATCACTAGTGTCGTTTAAATAATTAAATAATGTAGGATTATCTGTTATTAAGACTGCCATGGTTGTTTCCGGAATTTCTAATTCAGTAATTTCAATCATTTCATCATAAGCAATATTTTCGGGTAACGATTCGTTGTCCAAGAATTCCATAGGAGTAGTTGCCATTGTTGTGGTTGAAGTGTAATTGCTTACTGGTGGCTTAAGACCACTTGGTGGAGGTCCCGGTCTTAACACAAAGCACAGCATTGAAATTGTGAAATAAAAAGCGAATAGGAAAAACTGTCTGTAAAACCTAAGTTCACAACATATTTATTAATTTTATTATACTCTTAATAATTAGTATTGCTTATTGAAGAACTAAAAATTAATTATTTAAGGAGTTCTTATAATTGTATTAATACTAAAACATTAAAAAACAGTTTGCTAACTCGGTCTGGTGAAGTTGACTTTCTTGATTTAAAAAAGAAAAAGAGAATGATTATATAGAAGTATATTTTATACCTCTAGTAATTAATATGAAATTTAATAAAATTATATTTTAATAATGAACTTGTATTTTGATGATACTTTTAATGATTCATTAAAAGACCAAAAAAACTACTCATCAAAGTATACAAGAGATTGTGAAAATTATCCAAAATTTAAAAAATGGTTTGCATTGAGCAGAAAAGGATTCAATTTTCAAAGGAAAACTTTTCTTATATGTATTTTTTGATGACTATTTAGGTTATTTAACAGCTGTTGGTGAACATGGGTCATTTGATAAACTCCCTAGTTAAATACCTTGGTCGTATTGTAAGATTCATACAAAATCAAAGATGAATATGCCTTTTTTACCAAATAAGACCTACAATATGTAATCAAATTTTTTCTATAATAAATCAGATTTTTAATGATCCTAATATACCTTACAAACAAAACTGATTTTCTATACCATGTATGGTGCTAATACAATGTTTGATAATAAACATTCTATTAAAACTCTTTTGGCAAATGAAATTACTAAATTATTTGTCATTAAATGTGTATATTACACATTAAGTTTTTGTGTATTATATGATGCTAAAAAGTTAACAAATATTGTTAAAGATGTTCTGAGAAACATTTACACAAACATGAAGTTTAGTTTCAAAAGTCGAACTAAATTCAATGACTTTCAATTTTTTTTTGACACTAAACCTCATAAACTATTGTAGATTTGTCAAATCTGTTGGCTTTCATTGTATTCTTGTGTCAAAAAGAGTTAGATCAATACTGAGTTTTGAATTAACTACTTTAAAGGGAAGCATTTATTAAATAATTAGTCGGATCATATTTATTTAGTTTTATCAGATTCTTTTACTAAAATTTATTTGAAATAAATAATGTTAGAATTTGTTTTACTAATATTAAAAAATGTAAATTTTATTTATCAATCCGAAAGACTACAAATTCCTTTTATTTATTCAAAATTTTCTATTGCCTATGAAACTGTTATATGTTTATTAAACGTAACTAGACTGTTATATAAAATCTGTGTACTTTTACATATATAGATAAATTTTAACCTCAATTGCGGCATTGTCATTCATAATCGCATGTAGATTTTTGCCTAGGACTAGTGAGTATTGATTTAAATTATATTTACGGGGTTAAAATAGTACTAGTTTATAGCATTAATGACATTAGCAACTTTTTAATTTTAAGAATATTATTTGTATTTCAACTTGGATTCAAATTAATCTAAATCCGTAAGAGTTTAAACCAAGATATTTGATATTTTAATTATAACTTTTATATTTCTTATTTTGAAATGTATGGATATTCAACATAATGTATTTAATATAAGGGTCCGGTGCAGTTTCCGTAAATTCAAAAAGACTCATCTCAATCCGTGACTTCTATTAGTTGCGGTTAAAACAACTCCAGTATTTTTTTTTTGTGTATATTAGGGATTAAATATAGAAATCCAACATATTTTTAAGTTTAGAGATCATTTGGGTGAAAATATACAGCTATTTTATCGCAGAACAATTTTATCGAAAAGACTTAGAAAAATTTGAAACAAATTGTTTTAACTATTATGTAGAATATTCTTATAAACTACACACATATTTTTCATTTAAATACCTACACAAGACATGTTTAGAAATAATTTCGTTTGAGAATAAAATTATGTTCATAACAATGGACTAAACAAAGTCAATTTTAAATTCAATTATCCCATAATTTTAATATGCTAATAGACTAGACACTAATTCCTAAAAAACCGTATTATTTACGTAATTTGTACAAATGTTTTGAATTTGTATAAAGTGCTTCAAAAACTATTTTTTAATGTAATGTGTCTGTAACTAGATACAATTTGATGTGTAAAAATAATTAAAATGCACATATATGAGTATTTTAAGTTTATAAAATATCAATTTGTTTCATTTTATTTACTTACAGAGTTTTTAAAAATAAGTAAAGTAAAATCCATAAACTATAATTTTGCATTAGGATATTTCACATAAGTCAAAATCTATGAATAAATAAAAAAACAGTAACGAATAGTTTTCAATTACCGTTTGAAAAGAGTATGTTTAATTCACAAACATTGAATAGGTCGTGATCGTGTATTATAGATGAACTTTTAAAAGCAACGCCTCCGATAAAATTGTATTCTGCAGCCACTTACTGGTTTTATTTGCACCGAGAAAACGGTCGAGAACGGATAATACCCTCTAGAGTGTAACAACTGGTAAGAATGTGTTGAATATTAATAGCGATCTTTTGTCTTGTCTTTTTTTTAAAACACCGGTGCAACGAATCGAATAAATCCCGTAAAGTGTTTAGTGGTTGTATTTTGTCTGAATTCTGTGTGAATGGGAATTACATAACAGAGATATACCCTTAAGTATTTAATTTAGATATTACTTCATTCAGCTTCAAAGCCGAGCGTCGTGATGGTGACAAAATAATCTTGTAATACGCTTAAAAACCAATAGTGTATAATATCAAGTAAACTAGAAGTACATAGTGTTACGACTTACCGAAATTTAACGAATGTATTCCATTTTGCATTCAATAAATCTACTAACGCACCATCTATCATTTCCAGGTGTTCCGGACTTTCCTATTAATTTATAAGACTTTAAGTGTAAATATCCTCATTGAAAATATAAAGATGAATGCTCACCCCAAACACAACTAGATTTAATGCGGAATTTCTGCTGATTTGACCCGTGTCGTTGTCAATGGTGTCGATTTGTGTCAAAGGGTATGCGGCACAAGTGATGCTTCCTATAGATAACGTGTTCGTTTAGTGTACATAAATAATAAATTTTATCAATGTTACTTTCATTTTTTACCGATTTGCCAGTAGATTTCCCTTTCGATGTTAAGTATGTGGAAGAATATTTGGATACGTGCCAACTTTGCTGCCAATGTAAGGGGCGTCAAATTCTGATAATTTCTGATGTTCAGATCCGCCCCAATCTCGTAGGCCATGTCAAATGTTGACTAACGAAACAACAGAATTTATTATTTGAATAATAGAACAATTAGAAAATAACACTGATAAACGAAAACATATTTAAATTGTGCAGATTAAATTTGTATAATATTTACAATTATTATTTTTTCAACTCGATCAAAAAATATAAAATGATCAGTGTTCAAAGTTTAGATTATGCTAACAATTAAAAAAAAAGACATTGTTTTCTTAATAATAATTTTGTGTAAATTAACGAAAATATACAACAAATTAGTACCTACAAGTTGATTTTAAAAAAATTCCAATAATTTTTGCATTATTGTTACATTAATTAATTTTTTGTTTAAAATTTCATTAATACTGCTGCACAAAGACTAATAGAGAGATACTTTTCAGTTGTTATTGATTAAACTGTGCAAGAGAACTTATTTAATACTGCAGCATAGTGTTATTCCCTTTAAACGAATTAAAATTGAAATATGAGTTGTAGTTATACGTGCAATATTCATTAAATGTTATTTAATTATGTTTGTATTTTGTAGTTAACAATATTTCACAACTTTGTTCTATATTGTACAATTATAATAGTGCAGTATATATAGTATAATGGCTATTAACTTAGATATTTCAAAAAAAAATTTTTCGATTTATTTTTCTGAAAATTTGTAAAAACACTCAGTAAACTTAATGGATATAATAGTAGATGTACATGTATTAATACAATTACTGATTTTATACAAAGTTAAAAATCATTTTTCTCTTAAAATTTAATTAGCTTGTAATTAAACTTGCCATATTTCGTTTTATTAAAATTTGATTGGTTCCTTTCAATTATTTATGATAAAGACAAAAAATAAATCAAAATTTTAATTAAAATAATAAATACCAATAATAAAAATCGACATGGAGTACATTTCTTGTAATTATATGTTCTGAAAAATCATTAGAAGGTTCACTGCATTTGGTTCTACTGAGTGAAATTATGATACGTTTATGTAAACTTTGAATTTTGTTTCATAAAAAGTAATTAATTTTACTCCGTTCTTCAAAACTTTTTAATAGTGTAATTAATATAGTTGTTTTAATTATTAGTTATTGTTTTTAACTGTAGTGAAATTAAGAACATTTAGGTAAATGTTATAACCGTCATTTTCTCAATTTATAATTAAACTCGGCAACTTTTAATATTATAAAAATAAATAAAGTAAAAGTATGTCTAAACATTTTTAAAATTATGTTTTTAGCCATTCTGATATGTTATGTAGTATCTCGATAAAAGAAATAAAAAAATAGTGGCTTTTGATTGAATCGATAGAAAAAACGTTTTGGAAGTAATTTATAATTCTTGTAACGTTTTTCTATCAATGATTCAACTATTATATGATTATTAATTATTTAACACGTTATTTCATGACGCTAGTAATGTATCACACAAAAATCAAAACATTTATAGAATATCCAGTTTTTTAGTCTCAAGTTTTTACTGTTTTTTTTTTTTGCTAAATTATTTTTTTAATTAATTACAATTTTTTCATAAATTACGAGCATGTGTAAGACTGTATTGCCGTTTGTATCTTGATTGTTCGGATCTGCACCTCTTGCCAACATCAAACGGTAACTTTCCTCTTGTCCCAAACAAGCGGCAAACGACAATGGATATTCGCCCCAGTAAACATACCTAAGAAATAAAAATGAACATTTAATAACCAATAATAGAACAACTGTCCTATAATACAGCCCTTACACAGCTAAAATTCGAACTAAACTTAAAAGAGGGTTTTTAAAAAATTTCATTTTTACCATTTTTTACCATCTACCAGGTTATAAATGTAAAACTAGTTACTTGATAATAATAACATAATGTACATAGTTATTTATTGGTTAAATAAAAGATATTTTTAAACTGTATTGTAATAATTTTGCAAATAGATTGATTTCATAGAAATTGTACTTTCTTGCTTTATAAAATAATACAATACTATTTTTGGATTAGATAAAACTCATTTTCGGAAGATGTATTACAATGATTTATTATAACCTCTCATTCAATATATTTCAAATCTGGTGGTGCCAAGGTAATACAATAATAATATTAAGATCGATCGCATGGTCAATACGCTAGAAATTCTGGCGTAGGTGTGTAAGATAACAAATTGAAAAATGTATTCATTATGATTTATGTTCTGATTTCAAAAATATTTGAGGTTACCCTTCATAGTTGGTGTCCGGACAAACGTTAACCCATTCATGGTTTAGTGAATCTGACCTAGAAGCTTTTTGATCTTCAGGACACATAAAATTTCCAAAACATCTTTCATTCAAATTAGCTCCGCTATCCATCAGTACTTTGACCATGGCAGGATCTTCGTTAACAATAGCTATGTGTAGTACACTTTCTCCTAAAATATCAATGCATTTACTGAAATTTTATAAAATTAATAACTTTTATTTGTTAAAATATTCACAAAAAATATACAGAGTAATAGATTTTATACAAACATTCATTTTCTTTGAAAATATTGCATTTTTTAAATTTTTGTAAAAGAAAATATTGTTTGATTTAAAAAGTTATATAATTTAATAAAATATTTTTTTATTCTTTCAGGGATAAAAAACCTTTAATTTTCTTAAATGAGGTAACGAAATTAATAATAAATTTTTACTTTAAAACAAAATTTTTTTATCAACCTTGAAAAACAAACTGTTCGAATAATAAAAGAATATAGAAACAAAATTTGTTGTTATTTTTTTTCTATCCTATTATCAAGTTAAATAAACAATTTTTTTCCTATATTTTTTTTATTACATCAACCGTTTAGGTTTTAAGACTGATAAAAAATTTGGTTTTAAAGTAAAATTCCTACATTAATTTAGTTTTCTTAATACCGGAGACGGCAATAGCTTGTTTCAATAGGGTATAATTAATTTTACACGCCAGTGACTAACGATTTACAAGAGTAAACTTGTGTTGAATACAAGAGTATAGGACTATTAACAGTCATAAATTATTAAATGCAAGATTTCTGTATGTTGGATAATATATTTGTCGACAAATGTAAATCGACAAAATGAAAAATAAAGATTTTTGTTATTTTCAACAATATAATATCATTAGTAAAATGATTTCAAATTATTAAACTTTATCATGCAGTAACAGATGAACGAGTGATCTAACAAAAGAAATTTAGAAACAAAATGGTTTGTAAAACTTTTAAAAATGATTGAGTTAAAAAAACAGGGGTTCCTAATAAATTTTTTTAAATAAAGCTTATCAATTACTAAAAAATTCTGACCCACAGATTGCATCCGTCAATTTGCAAAATCACCTACACCTAATGGAAGAATGGTACACTAAATGGCGATTTAAAATTAATCAATCAAAATCAGTTCATACTACCTTTACTTTAAGACTTCTCCCTTGTCCTGGTGTCTCCCTATATGGAGTACAAATCCCCTCCTATTCTTCTGTCAAGTATCTCGGACTTACACTAGATAGTCGGCTCACGTGGGCTCAGCACATTAAAAATAAACGCTCGTTGTTAAATAGCCGTCTGCGGTTACTCAAATCATTAATCACAAACAATAAATTTTCAAACTTTAATGTTAAACTTTTAATTTATAAATCCCTTTTAAAACCCATATGGACTTACGGCCTTCAGTTATGGGGAAATGCTAAAAAATCCAATACCAATAAAATTCAATGCTTTCAGAATATTGTCTTAAGAAAACTAATCAATGCACCTCCTTATATCTCTAATTATACACTTCATAACGATCTCAACTTAAAAACAGTTCATGAAGAAGCCATTTCCTACTATAAAAGATTCCACAGTAAATTACTCTCCCACTCAAATCCCCTAATAAAAAACCTCTCAACCTTGTCCATACCTGGAGACCCACCCAGACGTTTAAAACGTAAGTGGTGCCGTGATCTTCTTTCTACCAATATCAATTAATAATAATATAATTAAGTCATTGGAAATATAAAATAAAAATTCTAAGAAAATAAAAAATTAAAAAAATCATGGGAAGTATCACTAATGAGTGGTTTCTTCCATCAAAATGTATTCATGTAAATTTTTTTT